CTTCTTTCATTTTCAGTAATTGCAGTTGAAATGCGTGCATATATTTGAAAATGTAATCTTTTTTGATTCAATGACGTAGGAATATTTTTCTTTTGGCAACACTGCAGCGTGTCATGTGTCGTTAGTAGTTGGTGGGCACCGTCCTCGGTTTTATTTTAAATTCAAAAAATCTTAAAGTAATCATACTTACATATTCTTTTATTGAATAATTATTCGGGGCTCTATGTGTATATAATATTTATCGATTATCAGAAGGAATGTCTACACATTTCTTTTGCATGTAAGTAGACCATTTGCAAATGTTTTTTCATTCCTTGTATTTTTTTTAAATAGGTACTTCATAAAACACACTTATTTTTCTCAATAACTCAGATGACTTTGAATATTTCCCCACATGATTGATACCAGAATAATAGTGAAGGTAATTTTTTACTGTAAAGCTAGACTCTCACGGTTTTTGGGGAATATAAAAAATGGCCTTCAATCTTTGTTTTGGGAATATTTTTAAATGTCTTCATTCCACTTTTACACATTTTTGGTAGGTGTATTGATGAATTTTAGATGAAACCCACAAATATCCTGCACTTGTTTCATTCCACCACATTATTGGGACAATGACATGTCAGAAATTATATTCTTTTGATATCTGCCCAGAAAAAAGAATTCAAATTGAAAGCGGTAAGTTTTAAGTAAAGATTAATTTTTGGGAAAGAAAGGTTTTGGCTTTCCACTTCTCCATCTTTATACAATAAATGTGGAAAACCTCCAAGGAAGGAAGTTCACAAATAATTTCAAAATTAACTCTTCACAAAGATGTGTGGATCATGCTTTCTTCCTTTCTTTGAAAGTTTCCCTTATTTTTTGTATACAGATGAAGAAGTTGAAAGCCAAAACTTTTCCCAAAAAATTTCAAGTTTTGAGAAAGAAAAGGTCACTTTTCAAAACGTTAGTAATTTGTAAAGTTTATTTTTTTTTCTATTCAAAGCACAATACTTGTTTACATCCAACAAACCAAAACTTAACAGGAAAAAAACTCAGAAAATAACTATATCTTCTGATACCAGGGTAACAATCAAAGCTCAAGTTGAATTATTAGGTATAATTATAGATGAGTTACTTCGATGAGAATCACATATTGACCATCTCTTTAAAAAACTCTCAACACAGTTATTTCTACTTCGCCAGTTGAAAAAAGCATTGAGCCATAAAACAATTATCATTTCATGTCATTCTCTTTTTCACTGTCACCTTTCATATGGGATACTTCTTTGGGGTAGATCTACTTACGCTATCAGAGCTCTTCGCATCCAGAAAAAGGCATCAGAATTATAGCTGGAGCTCCATCCGACGCACACTGTCAACCACTTATTAGAAAATTGGAAATAATACTACTATCCAAACACTCCATCAGACCATCATAATTATGAAACTAGAAATGTGGGACAACTCAGACAGCCAAGATTTAGACTTGAAATGTTATTACGAAAATCTCTGGACGTTAAATTATTTAACAAACTTTCATATAATGTGACTGAATTGAATTTTAATTTTATCGAAAGTAAAATCAAAGAGTACCTTAAATGAAATTGTCTTTATTCTGTACTTGATTTCCTGCAAAGTACATATTCAGACTAAATAGCCTTAATTTTTTACATTACTATTTATATATTTAAGAATCATTCTTTTTTATAATTCGATTCTTCATTTGTTAACTATTTTGTAAATCATTAAATTTTAAAAGTCTCAGACAAGCATGCGATCAATATATCGTCAACATACAAAAGTAGGTAACATCTCACATTTTGCTTAAGAAAAGTGTAAAGACAGTAATCTGACTTTGATCGCTTAAATTGCACATTTAACATAAAGTCATTAAATTTCTCATTCCAAACTTTAGGAGCCTGTTTAAGCCCATATAATGCCCTCTTTAACGAGCATACCTTATTATCAGCTTCAAAATCATTTAACCCTTCTGGGACTTCCATAAATACCTGCTCTTTGAGTTCACTATGCAAAAAAGCATTCTTGACATCGAGTTGTTCAAGAATTAAATCATAACTGTGACTAATTGTCAACTAACTCCCAGGTATCATTCATTTTTAATGCATTAAGTTCATCATCTATAGCTCTTTTCCAGAAATTCCAGTTTGAGCTAGCTCTAGCCTCTTTATAGGATTTATGATCCTCAGAAAATTCACTTATCAAAGCCAAACAACTCATATCAACCTCATAGTCATCAAACCTTGCTGGTAACCTAATATGCCTTTTGTTCTTTCTCTCAAACTTTCAGTTTCAACATTAGTCTCTTCATTTTCACTACCATTCAATTTAACCTTTTCTATATCTTTTTTAACCTGATCTTGTTCTATATTTTCATCATCTTTTTCACTATCATCATCATATAGTAACAACCTATTACTCTTATTCATAAAATTTCTCTCATCAAAAACAACATTTCTATTATGAATTAATTTACCTTCATCTTCCTGCCACAAGCGATAACCATTCTCAGTATAACCTAAAAACCTACACAATTTTCCTTTATCACCCAACTTACTTCTTAAACAGTCAGGGACCCTAGCGTAAGCAATGCACCCAAACACCCTCATATGTGACACACATGGTTTTTTGTTATAAAATAGCTCGAATTGCGTTTTATTTTGAACTAAGCAAGATTGGGTTCTATTTGTAATATATGCTGCCGTTAGCACAGAAAATTCTACTTAAATTAGCTTGCATAATTATCGATCTTGAGAGTTCATGAGAGTTTGATTCATTCTTTCTGCTACGCCGTTGAGTTGAGGGGTATAAGGTGGTGTATAAGATAGTATAAGATATTTTTCTGTCTTCCTCAAGACAAAAATCTAAGAAACCTTTTGAACAATATTCACCACCATTATCACACCTTATTTTCGAAATTTTCTTTCCACAAAACAGAGATGTTACCCTAGCTTCATACTCTTTCATACACCTTAATACTTCATGCTTATGTTTGATCACAAATACCATCACAAATCTAGAGTAATCATCTACATACATCAGTGTGTATTAATTACACAAACATCACAAATTTTTGTTTCAGGCTTTAAATTTGCAAAATCCAGACCGTTAACAATTTTTTCATTTTTAGCAATGAATCATAATTTAAATGTCCATATCTAAGATGTCATATTTCTTTGTCTTTATTATTTGAGGCTAAATTTGCATATTCAAAGTGACTATGTTCAAAAACTAATTTATATAAATTGTTTATATGGTTACCTTCAGCAAAAATCTTTTTGAATTGTAACTTTACCATTATTACATACAACTTGAAAACCTGCCTTTTCTATGGTTGAAATTGATAACAAATTTACCCGTAACTCAGGAACACATAGGTACCCTTTTCTGACCTACAATACTAATGGCCTCCAAATCACCAACACACATAGCCTTCATAAATTTACCTTCCTCAGCAAGTTGAATCAACCTTGGTTCGGTGAATTCCCTTTTGTTTACCAAGACACCTTTGCAGTTGATATAGTGATGCGTAGCACCAGAGTCAGCATGAACAGCATTCTGTCACATGAACATTATTGAAACTGTCCGAAGTAGTACAAAAAGCCACTGCTTCCTCTACAGACCGATCGGATGTTTAGTGTTCGCCCTTCGATTCACGCAGACCGTGGCCTTCAGCATAATTAGCCCTGTTTCCCTTTTTAATTCTGCACTGAAAAGCCTTGTGCCCATATTTGCCACAGGCATGACACTTTATACCACAAACATTCTGAACATGTCCAATTTTATTACATTTAAAACATTTGATTTGTCTTGGAGCAGCACTAAAAAATGTAGGAACATCTCTAATATGTTTGGAATTTTTGCCCTGATTTTTATTTAAACAAAACTCCAACCATTTTCAGAAAGAGTTCTTATGGCGGTTACCACATTCTCATATTCAGTAGGCATGGATAACAGTAAAAAGCAACCCATCTCCGAGTCGTCAAAACTACTGCATAAACCTTTCAATTCTCTGAATATTCTATCACACTTCGAAAAATGCTCTTGGAAATCCATGTTGATATTATATTTAACTGAAATCAGTTCTTTCAACAGATAGAACTTTGTACATGTACCTTTCTTGTTGAAAATCCTTGATATACTCTAGATGAGTATCTGATACACACTGTATTATTACCATGCATGCTTTACTATTCATCGTTTGCCAAGCTTCATCTCGTTCAGTTTCAGCTACCTCTATTAGGGCATTTTTTAAATCCATCGCCTTCAACACTGATGTCAATCGAAACTTCCAGTTATCAAATCCCGTTCCACAAAATGGAATTATTCCATGTTTGTTTTCTGCTACTGCACTGCCTGCTTTGCCCGCCAACACGCCGGCCATTTTTCGATACAAAGAACACTTACGTTTTTCAGAAACAACCTCTACTTTTACTACTCGAATGACACTTCCAACACATTAATCTTCCTCTTCTAGCCTGCTGCCTGGGCCCATAACCTTTGTTAGAGTTAGTATTAATTATACTAAATTATAGTCAAGAAAAATGTGTTGTGAAGAATTTTATTTAAACTAGAAAACGATGTCATCGATGACATAAGCAGATCAAGCTTATTCCGTGACATTCAAAATCGTAATTCATGAATGAAGTGTGTGTATTTTCTATAATGTTATCCAATTTGGTACTGAAGAGCCTTAGGGCAAGTGTCTTAAGGCGAAACACGTGTATACCAGTTAGGGTGACAGTGTTCCATGTGAGTACAATTNTGTAAACGTTTCTGGAACATAAACTAACTGAAGTAGTGTGTGAAGTACACCCCTCTAGAAGGCCGGAGATATACTCCTCGATGAAGTAACAATAGAGAGTCGTTAAAAACTGCTTGAAATCTGGAGACCAGGCCAAATGGATCTAAGTAATGTTTCGTTTTTCAAGAAGAAGAGGATGCAATCAACATTGACGGATCCTCCAACCCTGACAACAAATAAAACGACAAAGGTATTAATAATGATCAGTTACAAATTGACGATATCACGCTGACGAATCTTGAAGTTTTTTAAATATTACTTGAAGATGATCACTCGGTGATCGTCGAGGTGTTAAAATAACAGTTTGGTGTTGGGAAAAAACTACAGTAATATTTATTACAACACGAAAGGTTACAAACAGTGCATCACAATTTTTTTGTCAATGGTGTACATCAAATATATGTACATTCCGGAATATACTCTTATCACAAGCTTTACTAGAAGTGATAAAATACATGGTGGTTCTCTAATATTCATAAACACTAAAAAACTTTGTCAAAAAGTGGTGTCATAAACTGTAGTAAATTCTACAGTATATTACGTAGAAATCCTGTGAATGATATCTGACTTATTTCTATAACGAATGTTTGGAATACAAACTGAGTGGAAAAAGTGTTTTTTGTATAATTGGGTGTTCATATAAGAGTATTTGTTTCAAAATAATTTTTCTTTTGTGTAATTCAATGCTTATACGAAAGTAGCTGTTTCAGAAAGGCTTTTTCTTCCAGTTTGTGTCTGAAAGTTACTTCTTTGCATGATCTACGCATCTATGTATAAAGTTA